CTAGATAGCTTGGGACTCTATATAGTAGATATTGATACCACTGATTCATTTATAAAAGCTGCATTAGTGATGAAATTTGTAAACTAGATGACGCAATATATAACACATTGAATGTTCACGCAAAATATTCTGGGTGTTTATGACAAGACAGAAATGGCCATGTTTTTCAAGCTAAAGTTGCGTACAAAACTTAAATTCAAAACAAACAACTGCAAATGAGCTATTCTTATGAGAACCATTCCTGACACAGATCACAAAAATAATGACCAATTCCATTATTTACAAGTTGTTTCCAAAAATGAAATCACCATCACTTGTTATAATTCTCTACACTTTTTACAAATTGAGGAATTGCGATTTTAAGACAGCACTGGAGGGCGCTCAACGTAGGCAGATTTCTTGAACATAAGACACAACACTAATCAGCACAGTTTGATGGAAGCTAGCTGCAAACCAAAACGTTGTATTCTTCACGGTCTGTCCTGACTTCTGCAAGGCATTTATTTGACAAGCAGTATTTTTCTCTTGAGCCGTTATTTCAACACGATTCTTAATGATTCCAACATTACTTGAAAAAGCTCAGAGCATTAATAAATGCTGCACATGAAGAGCGCCTTCCGCTGAAATTGAGGTTACCAATCAACATGATCTTTTTGTCTCTTATTAGCCAACGTCAACCTCTTTCTAGTGGTAGAATCACAACCTCGATCTGTTTGCAGGAATTAAAGAAAATGAACTTGCAGTAAAAGGACAAATGACCAAAAAAGGACAAAAATGACACTATGACAGAAGACTGTGACCACAGATGCCACCATCCATGCCTTTAGCGAACGGCTTAGCTCCACAAATCAAAAGAAGATACGTCTCATATGGAAGTCAATCCCCAATGCTCCTAACTTTTCTGAGACCACATAACTATTGAGTCTATGAGCAAGCATCCCATCACTGACTTAGAAGGGAGAGATTGGAGGTCAATTATTTCAACTGGGGCCCAGTGCTCACAGGACAGTACATGTACATTGCAATAGCAGTACGAAGCATAAGCCATACAGGCTCAAACCTGCCAGCGTATGTGGTATGTAATGTAAGCACACACTGCCTCTTCTTTTTGTAAGAAGCCAATAAAAACAGCAGTACTGCATCGTGAACACAGTTCAAAACTTCACTGCTTCTCTTTTCCGTATTAAAAACTTAGGCTATCATGTTAGCAACCTGACTCCTAATCTGTTGAAAAAAGTCCCCTCCACCATGAGCAATCCCTTTGAGACATTTATTCCTTCTCTCATGTTTTCCTTCAAGTCCCAACTAGCAAAGGATACCACTCGGAGTCCTCTTTCAAAGGGGTCAACCATCATGAGTCCTCGAGGTGCGTAGACCTCTTCATTCTGAGTTTGAAGATATCTAGCTGCCTCCTTCACTTGCTGCTCAGTGAAAAGTGCAAAAATATGAAAATTCAGCAACAAGTCACTGTAATGTCTGCAGTGAAATCCACTCTGCTCAAGCATCAGAGAGTTTGACAATACAAATGCACCAATTTTCCAAAATTGCTGAGGTTTCAGAGAGATTTGCAAGATAGAGGGTGAAAAATCCAGCCACTAGAACTTCACACTGGGCCTGGTGCCTCGTTCCATCACAGAATTCAACACAGGGTTCAACTGAGCTTATTACTTGCCAATACTACGTACACGTTAAACTTTTCTGGGCTTCCCAAATGTGAATACTTTCAAGATTCATAAAATTGGCCACTGTCAAGTCTGAAAAACGTACTTTTACCTTTTCATAATGTGTTTTGACGCATAAGAGTGCAAGGTACCCTGTCAGGCATATTAAACATCCTTCACAGAATACTCTTGCTTTGAGTGTCTCTGCATCGCTGTAGATTTCATTCAGACGGTTGATTGTAGTCTCGAATGTTTTTTGATCTACCTGCTCAAGAATACAGACAGAAAAATCAGGAAAGAGTTCCATATACGGACAACACTTGATGCCCCTGTACTGGAAAAAGTGTCTCTTAGTAAATGCTTTGGAATTTTCTCAGCTAAATTTCACTTTTTAGGACAAGTTATCACTTTCTGACGGCTGTTAGAACATTTTAAGGGAAAATTAGTGTTGTCTGTAGGTGGACAAAGTTGAACTTGTCTAACTGCTCCATCTGAGCATTCTAACAAATGAAAAACCAGATTGTTGATTTCCAAAGGCACACATTATGACTAATATCCTCCAGTTTCTTTTCTGTAAGTTCTTACCCTGTCATTCAAATCCAGAGGAAGTTTAGCCTGAAACTTGACAAGCATACCATCAGAGTAATCTCGCTGGATAAACACTTTGCCAAGAGGCACGGGCTGCCTCTGTATAGTCTCCATGGCCATTGGCTGAAAAGAACAAGATTCATGAGACTGACAGTTGTGAACTTGTGATTTTTATCAGCCATTAAAGAGGAACAATGAAATTGACAGACCTGAACTTTTTTCTAAAAAAAAATTCCACTTTGGCTATGTTCACATTTGAAGAGCAACAATATGACTATGTGGGCCTTACACTTGTGTGTAGGCTGACTGTGGCTCAGCCGCAGTACACAACTTGGTGGACTTACTGATAAAAACTGTGTGCCACAACACACTCCACATCGGCCGAGATGCATTGCCATACATGCCATAGAGTTTTCACTCATGACCACCATGTATATGTACGTACCTGCAGCTGGGGCCATTAAGCGTGAAAAAACCTTGGCCTTGCTTGACAAATCAGGTTACCAGCCATGCAAGCCAAAATTCCACGTCGGGCCATGTGATGTATATTGTTTGAAATGGTATTCACCTATGTTTTGGTTAGCATGACAATCACATATATGCATAGATTTTGAGCTGGTAACCTTTGCTTTTTAAGCAAGGTTTTTTAGTGCTTAAGCAGCTCTATCCCCTTATTGCAAATACAACGGTAATTTTGCACAACGGCAGAAAGGCACTGAGTCTGTGGGAAGGAGAAAGAATCAATATTTGGTCCTTTTTCCTTCCCCAAATCCCTTTCTACTGCAAAATGCAGTATTTGCGATAAGGCTTGTGAAATGGGCCCGTCACCACGGTGTGTGTTTCACAATCACATGTCGACTCTACAGACTGTACACTGTACTGTAGCACGACCTAGGCTACTCATGACTAGGCCATGTAATGATGTATATCGCCGGCGTACGGCAAGTCATTCTAAAATACGTCCTAAATACGAACCTATTTCTCAAATAAGCACATTCACGAAATAAACCAAGCACATTATATTTAAATACAAAAGCGATCACACCCTTGAAAGCTACGTGATGGAGAAAAAATGTTGATATTCGTGCCATACTTCGTGTACTTGCGCTGCGTAGCTTGCACTCGCCATCGTCATAACAGGAGGTAGTGTCATCGATCATCCAGACTAGTGGTGAGAGCAGATTTTCACGTCAAGTAGATAGAGGCAGGAACCTGACCATTTCCAGAAGTTTCATGGTCACGGTAGAGGGCGTCCTTGTGGTCGAGCAAGGAATGTGATTAAGTGCCACAACAAAGTTCGCACCCACGCCTCAATCAGCAAGTCAGAAGGTTTGGTAAGGCTTTAATTTTAAATGTTTACAAATATATTGCCTTTGGTTAATGAAAGGGGGCTTGGAAAGAGTTCCATATACGGATAACATCCACGTGATGCTCCTGTGCACTAACATATGAGACTTGTCCGAAAAAGTTAGTGTTTCCTTAGTAAATGGGTTCAGAATTTTTTCAGCTAACTTTCACTTTTTGGGACGTGTTTAATATCAATGTCACTTTCTGATGGCTGGTAACATTTTAGGGAAAATTAGGAGTGTTGTCCGTATGTGGAACTCTTCCGGGGGGCTTTAATTAACTAGTCATCACGATGGGCAGTTTAATATTGTTTTCACAGTCAACACACAATGTACTACAAGGAGGTATTTCTTGTGACTTTACCCTTTCCAGATAATGGCAGAAATACAAGCACCCTCTCACAGTCACTGTGACTCGTGCTATAAGCAATGGTGCAGTGTGGAGACAGTAGGAGGGGTTTCATGTCTTAACATCAACTGTCCTCAGGAATGCGGGGCGCGCCTTCATACGTGCAAGATGTCGGATCATCTGACACGCTGTCCTAATACCAGGATTGAATGCTATAATCGTATCAATGGTTGTCCAGCCACCATGACTCGAAAGATGGTCCCATCACATCTTGTCCACTGCCCAGCATTTGTTGTCCAGTGTGGTTATGTAAGCTTATACTGATTCATTCCTTGCCTATTTCTTAATTCTCAAATGTTCAACTTTTTCGAAAACAGAGTCATAGAAAAGAAGATATTTAGAATTTTCTAGTGACAAAGAGTTTTGTTGCTTTGCATTGTCAGAAACAGTGCTTGGTACTAGATTACGCTGTTGAATTGATATTATTGTACGTGCCTTCCTTATCTTTGCATGCAATTTGTCATTATCTCAGGGGTACAGAATGGATGAATTCAAGCGACATTTTAACTCAGGTGTCGAGCATGATCATCACTGTGCTCCCATCATAGCCGACAAGATGGCCCGGAAACTAGCAGCTGAGAAGTTAGCCGAGGAATCAGAGTATGACTCCAGCATTCCTGCTGATAACTTCAACGTCATGTCAAAGGATGAGCTGGCAGAGTTGCTAGAGGACAAGAAGAAAAAGCGAGAGGAGGCCCTGAAAACTCACGGAAGTCTCCTCACGAAACCAAGACCAAAGAGATCCAATGATGATCTCTGCAAGGTACCCTGGAAGGACACAGAACGACTCTTATCTGAGGATTTTGAGCCTATCAAAAGCCCAACCTCACCTGTTGATGAAATGGAGGTACCCCCTATGTCCCCAACAAGCCCCTTACCTGATTCTTCCTCAGTGCCTCCAGGCCTTGAGACTTTACCCTTTCCTGTCTTGAAGCACATCGGCAGATTTTTGGATCCTCGTGACTTGTCTGCTTTGTCACTCACATCCAGATTCCTTCGTCGGGTCTGTGCTAGCCTGCTGCAGGAATGTGGCATGGTGACATTAACCTGGGATAAACAAGTTGATGACACTTGGGTTGTGACCCAGAAGGTAGGAGTGGTCCGATATCAACATTTATTTATTTATTGTTAAAATTGGCAACCAATGAATAGCCAAACGGACAGATTTTCAGACAAAAAGGTAGGAGACGTACAGAGAGACGTGCATCTGCAAAAGATGAAAGATCTAAGTAAACTAACAACACGCCTATAGTTATAGGCTTGTGTAAATATTGCCACTAACCCAAAATCATCTCAAAATCAATATGTGTTTACATTCCTGAACACTTAAAGGCACTTGAAATGAATTCAATGTCTGTTTTGATAGAGTTTTGCAAAATGATATTGATTTATTCACCCTGTTAAACCATTGCAAATCTTCTCAAATCCAGCACCTAGTTTGGCTGCACCATTACTTGACATGGGGTTTTACATCTGCTTTTGATTTTACTTTGCCAATGCAAGAATCTGCCTTTGATTTATTTCAGAGTTCTATTATCAGATAACCATAGATCCAGTCTACAGGAGGGTTAAGAGGTCTGGGGGGATAGGGTTGGGGTTCATTCTGTGGCTTTATTTTCTAGTGTTAAAGCTATGAATACCCTTTAAAGATCACAAGCAACATTAAATGGCATCATTGCCATGAATGCATTGTTTTTGTTTATTCCTCAGATATGGCAGTTTGCTGTTGATCTCCCGGGCCCAGCATCTAGTGATTAAAGCTTGAACATGCTTTGCTCTGTTCCATGAAATCAGACAACTAAAAGATCGAGAAATCTACTCAGAAAGTACTTTCACAGGACCATTTTTTAAACATCAATGATATCTAAAATAAGTAGACTTTCCTAGGGCCTTGGTTAACATTTGAGCAAATGAATATGTTAGGTTTCCTGAGAGCCATGTTTTCTTGGTCAAAAGTCAAACACAGTTGAGAAGTTCATTTGGAGGAGTTTGTTGGAATTTTAGTTAACCATAAGAGTTGGGAGGAATTACTCATAGGTTCTCCACACCGATGTTCATCATCATCATCATCACATGACATACTCTGCCGGAGCCTTGGCGACCATTCTTTTGTTCTGACTTGTCTGACTTAGTGTTAAGACTGATCCATTTCTTTATTTTGTCCATCTTTAACGTTCTTTATCTGTCTCTGGAGCGGCTGCCATTGGCTATTCCTTGTAGTACAGTAGCTTTAAGAGAGTAACTGGATCTTGAAATATGGTCAAAGTAGCAGACTTTCCTTTACTTACTTCCGTCAAATCAGTTTTTCAAAACTTTTTTTTTTTAATTTTGATGCGGAATTTTATTTTGTCCTAGAAATGCAGCTCTTCTCTGTGGGAGTAGACAGTTATTCCGAGTTCAACGTGTGTTTGACAATTCATTACAAATATTTGGAACACCAAGATGTAGTGAAAATGTTTTCTCTAAGTTTTCTGAGGGTAAATAAATTCACCTCATTAACAAAGAGAATCCCTGTTATCAGAAAATGCTATTTCAAATAATGTATATTGTTTCTAATCAGAGGCACCACTGAAACAACTTTGCATACTTGTGACAAATTCTGGACCTTGAACATTGCCCATTTTGTGTTCACAGTGGGCGTTATGATATCATGACATGACTTCTATGCTGCGTTTTCTCCAACCTGTGCTGTCTTCAGTTTAGTATCCTCATGAATTTATGCAAATGATATGATTATGCATGTATATAGTTTGTTGTCACCAAACAAGTAGATTTATGTTGTGTTTAATATTTTTAGAGACATAATTATTTATGTTGTACATACAGGGAGATTTTTAAATGAACAAAAATTTCCATCAGTTAATAATAACAATCTTCTTTGAATTATTCAATAAAGTCAAGTAACGATAACAGAATAGATCTATTTTATATCTTTTAATCTAACACAAAGATTTCTAGTTTCACTATCTTTATACTAAATAGTATAACTTTCCTAGGTTGTCTCACAGGAATAACTGAAAATTTCTTTTAAGATACGCTGGATTGAAAGTGACAGTGAGATTGGTGATTTTTTTTTAAATATGTGGTTTAGAGATGAGAAGGAAGGATTAACATGCAACTTGCTATGAGTATTATATGACGACTTTAGAAAGTAGTAAAGTGCTTCTAAATTAAATTGCGGATTGTTAAATACCTGAATTTGGTTTCTTTTCTCTGACTGTTTGGAAAAAAAACACATCCACTATGTACGGCAAGCATATGAATCTGAGTACGAGAAACACCTCTTGGGGAATCTGGCTCGTAAATTCATAATTTGTATAGAAATCAAATTCCTTTACTGATTTATTGTCTTGAAGACAGTACACATGGTGCTGTTTACATTAATGACGTCAGTCTGTTATGATCAGGTGATCTGCTCTTACTGCTGCATTCGGCATTTCATTGGTCAAATATAATCATTTATTATGCTAATTTTGTGTCAAGACAGGTCGCCAGTGGCTAAACGAGAAAGGCCGTCCTATTTTGTACCGGGTGTATTTTTTATCCGTTTATAATGAGAAAATGTTATCTGATATATTTTTCACCGTCATTCGTAGTCAAAATACACTCTACCGAGAAAAAAGACACTACATTTACCGACGTTTTGTAAATATAAATAGATGTTATGGAAATCTTGAGCGGCGAAAAAATAGGACGTGCACCCCCGATGGGAATCGCGGAAGCAAAACATTGCACAGAGAAAAAAAGCACGCAGTGTTTGTGCGTTCACGTACCAGGGAGATTTGACACGTATGCTACGCAGTAGGCTAAAAGCAACAAAATCGACTTGAAAAATGGCCAGCAATTCGCCGAGAAGGCACGGTGAAGACTCGTTGAACGGTAACAATACTAACATTCTCCTCTATGAAACTTTATTGTTGTTCGTATGGCGAAATTAGTGTTGTTCGTGCATGTTTGCAAGTAGGCTAATTAATCGTTCACTTTACGACAGACTTTTCATATTGTTCGTGCAAAACATCTGGCAGGTCGTCCTTCATGTCCTTGTTAAATAAGTTGTACAAAAAGCGGACGGACGTGTCGTCAATTTCTGAAGTCGTCAGAATTAGAGCAGTCGACACGTACTGTAATACGTAGCCCAGTTTCGGTCAAGTTTCTGATTTCAGATTCGTTTTAATGTTACAAGGCAAAGTTCCCTCAACACAGGACTTTGTAAATTGTAGCCATGTGTGAAAATCACCCGAGCAGATTTTTTTATTTCAAAGATCGTCAATCACCACGAGTACAAAGGGTGTGGACAAATAATAAGAGCCTAAGACCATCTTTTTTCCTCCCTCCATGCTAAGACTAAGAGAATCAGAGATGGATAATTACTTTGATTGCTTCATTTTCAGCTTCAAGGCATGTCTTATACGTTTTTCCATTTCTGTTTTGCTGTTGCTAAAAGCGTCCCTATTTGTGTGCCTGTCCTGTTCTCCTGACTCCTTGACTTTGTGCACATACAACAAACAATAGCCAACATAGTCAGAGGATGCATCTTTTTAACCTAAAAGCCAATTTTTTCATCAAATTTCTGTCACTAAAGCTGTGGCTTTCTTTATAGACCCCTAGCCCCACTAGTGTGGCACGGATCACTCCCGATTTATTAAGGATAAATCGGGAGTGATCCATGCCACACTAGTGGGGCTAATAGACCCCCTGCGTATGACATCACATTCGATGGCATTTCTTTCTTTCTCTAGGATAGGTTCAAGTAAACCTTTAGTGCATTCATTGTAATGAAATTAAAATAACACAGAATAGCCCCTGACTCCACCTTAACACAAGGGGTCTGTTGAGTTAGATATGTCATTCACATTCCTGTCGTCTGTCGAAATACATGTATTTTCCACGTAGAAACAGAACATTATTGGCCACTTTACTGAAGATCAGGGATGATATACAGATATTACTCAGAAAGATTTGGATTAAGACCTGTTGTTTGTAAGCCCGTAATGAAGAACGTAGGCGTCGTTGATGAAAGGCATTACAGTATGCTTGAGCAGAGATGTTGTGAAATCAATCATCATATTTATAATGACACAAAAATAAAGAATTGAACTGAAAGTGCACCCAACCATCGTGTCAAAGTTTTACACTATTTCCCAGCAATCAACTCAACAACAAAAAGGTCTTTTCAAGAAAGATTTTTCTTGACATCCATGCTCTTTTTTTCCTTTAGATTCATGGGTGGTCTTCAACCAAGAAGGGGGTGACAGTGGTAATGGGAATAGCACTAACAGACCACTATCTATGTACAATGGTAACATGGAAAAGTTGCTGATGGAAGCCCAGAGGGAGTCACGATCCACATCAAGAGGGAGTTCTCAGGGAGGGAGGTTAGTTACATGAAATATCAGTTAAGTGCCATTAAGCCACATAAGAAAAATAATTAGTTTAGCATCAACACCTGCCTCAAAAAATTTTGCTTTTTTTTTCCTTTAAAAGTTGTCTTTTCCGATGTCCATAGCCATCCCCCGTAGTTTCTACAATGCCCACACAACCTTGTGCACGCACAACATGCGACCTGAGAACATACACACAATGTCATGTGCACTTCTGTGCACGAGTCTGAAGTGAACATCGCGCTTTCTTTCTGTGGTTGTGGCAATCCAGAACAGCATGCATACAATAGTATTTAAAAAAAAACCTCCTCCCTGCTTGTTTTTTGCAAATACAACTAATGCTGAACTTTTTTAAGTGGCCTTAGTTTGACAGCAAACTAATATTTATAACAAGTGCAAAAATTAAACCCTTCCAAGCATCCTTGTTAGGGACGCTTCAAACTCTTTTAAAAGCATCCACTGTGAAGGAAAGTAATGACACAAAAATACCTTTGTTTTTATCTACTGACATGTAATATCAAGTTATAGATGATTCCAATCTTTATGATTCCAATCTTACAATGATTTACAATTTCTTGACCCTGATCCAAGAGGATTCTGTCCATTTTAAAGTAAAAGCAGTGAGGTGTATACAATTTGACTCAGATTACCACAGGCTGGCTGAGATGCGAGTTAGAGGAACATATATGAAATCATCCCTGAAAGTTGAAAGTGTTTTTTGTGATGACTGAATAAAATCAAATTCTATTTGTTCATGGCTTCCTCAGTCCTAAAAGTCCGCACAGTCCAGTAGGCAGTGGCGCCAACAGTGGCCCAGGATCCACCTACAGTAATGGGTCTGACAGATCACAGGTAACCTAGTTTATTAACACAACAGTGTTCCCTATAGTTCAAAACTAACAACTCATCTGATGCTAGGCTTAAAAATAATTTCAATGTGGTCTTTAATCAAATGTTGGTTTATTGTATTCAATTGTAAGTTTGAAATGGTAAAACTGTTCATATTTATATTGTTTATTTATTCCTTTATTTATCCAAGGTAACCTAAACAGCTGAAGCTTGATTTCGTTAGGGCCCTTCAATAAAAAATAAACGAATTAACCCTAACAGTCCTCAATCCCTCACCTGTTAGAGGACTGAGGACTGTTAGGGTTAATTAGTATATTTTTAAAATTAAAAGAACTAAAAGAAAAATACATTCTTCTTGTAAAAAAAGAAAGAAAACATGTTAAAAAAATACATAAAATATTTTTGTAAATGACTAATTATTAAGGAAAAATTACATCTGCCCGAAAAATGTAGAATTTTTTTTTTTTGAAACTGTAAGAGGGACACAGTCATATTGTCCTTACCCTCTAAAACAAAGGTCATAAGTTCCACTTTCATACGCAATCTATTTTGGGCTGACTGTGGATTGACGTCAGACTCAAACCTTATTTTAAGCACAGGAAATGAGATTCTTGTTAGCTTGTACAGTAACCTGTTTCAGCTTTTGTTGAGAAGATATTCTAAGATTGGGTGGTTCATTTTATGTTTGGTCATAAAAGTAGTTGTTACCACGTCTGAGGGAAGAAAAAAAATATTCATTTTCAAATGCTTTCAATTTGAAATGCGCATCACAGAAAGTTATAATTAGCATACAACCTTCATATTAAAACAGAAAAATAATGTACAGGTGTTATGTAACAAATACCAAAGGAATTACAGAAAAGTGGGGAAAGGACCATGGAAGAGACAATTCTAGTGGGTCAGGATACAGCAGACAAAGTGAAAGAAAATGTAGGGTTTTCTTACTTGGGTCGGATTAACCTCAGAAGCATCCAGATACATGGTTTATCTTAGCAAGATTGATGATATTGTGATTCAGAATGGCACATGTTCACATGACAGTGATTGTAATCTGGCATTAAGTCCTTAAATCGTTCTATAAGAGACACTCAAGGACATGTACAGGTACTTTTGATGACTAAACTTGCACACCGTGCGTTCGTTTTGCTTTGATCATGTGATCACTTGCCCTATGCACAAGTTCATATTTGATGAAAATATGGTAGAGATTGCAAGCAGCATAACACTCTTGCCATTATGGCTCACCGTTGAAAGTCTCCTGGTCAAAGTGATGAGTCACTAAAAAAAAAATGACAGTAAACACAAATGAACCTGTATACCTATCAAATTTTTTCTCATTCACATCGTACAATATTTTCTGCATTCACAATATACATGTAGGCAAGACTGTTTGAGTTGATACCTTCCAAGCCACCTGAAGCCCACAAACTTCCTATATGAATGTTTTTATCCACATAAGCAAATCCTCGCTTTAGCTATGCAGGCTGTTCATCTCATTGACTTGTAATTTTTACTCTACCAGCACTTATTGGCAAGTTTTGCATTGTTCTACATAAAAGCAAGTAATGCATGTAGGCATTATATAAGCTTCACCCAGTTTTAGGCCAAGCTTTAATCCTTCCATATGGTCGTTAACTCCATGGGAAGTGCCTATTTAGGCAAATCGAGATACTTTCTTTTTTTCTCCCCAGTGTGAATGAAATGGCATTTTGTTCCAAGTCACATTTCATTTCTTCCTTGTTTGATAAAAACATTCCTAGCCAAGTCCAATACAATTTAAATACAATACATGTACATGTACCATGTCTTCCAAGAGGTCACTCCAATGTGTTATGCAAACATCTTATTCAATGGAACTAGGTAATGTAAACATGAACCAGATTTATACCAGTAGATGTGGGGAGATGTTTTATCATTTCAAGGAGAATCTAGACTTTCTATTCTGTTTATTCATTTTTCTCCCCAGACTGCTCCCATCCTGCCAGGTCCTGGTGCTGGCTTGGCCCAGGGAACTGCAGAGTGGATATGGGATTGGTCAAGTCGGCCAGAGCCCCTCCCACCAAAGTAAGTCTGAAAAAAACAATAATAACCAGGGTCCAGTCCAAACCTCCCAGATCCTTGAAAATGTTCCGTGCAGTTTGGGAGGAGTTTGAAGAGTGGAAGAAGGTATACCTCAAAAAGCCTTTTGCGAAGTTAAATTTGAATGAAGCTGGTATATTAAGTTCTTGAAATTCACATGAACGTAACAAGTTGATTCTCCCAACTAAAAACACTGTTGCTATACCTCGTGATTCAAGGTAAGCTTTTGCTTAGTTACATAAGAGATGCCTTGTACCAATACACTGTTTTCAATAGATAAGAAGGGCACAAAGGAACCAGTCCATTCCAGAAATGGTGGTCGCTATGCAAAAGCTTGCCCCAAATCACGAGGTATAGCAACAGTGTCTTTAGTCTGGGTAATTCAAATTGCTATGTTTATGTGCAATCAGATAACTCAGTGTGCCAGATTTTATTCAAATTTAACTCTCAAAAGGCTTATTGGTAGACTTCTTTATGATTATTAACCCGACTTATTTTACAAAGAATAAGTAAGCCTTTGGTTTGCTACATAGAGGATTATTTCAGTATGTATAGGAAGGAACCTTACATAAATGCCACGGGATCTGGGGCTTGTTAACTAAATCAGTCAGAACAATCCTCCGGGTTTGGAGTATTTTAATTAAAATTGAGGACTCCAAGCCTTTGTACGTGTCACCTGATGTCTTGATTGCCCAGAAGCATACACAATTTTGCCAATCATAGCTGAGGTTTGAAACTACACATGTGTTTGGGGGATTCATTACGCAACATAAAATTCTAGTTTCTCAGAAATCAGAGAAGTGTTAGGCCCCTTCGCTCAGAGCAGTGTTTATTGACCTTCAACTGCTCTCTGCATTCAGAATTGGATATTTTGATTTTATGAGTCACCCCCAACACCACCCCAGTGGGAATGACTGACTAACCTCACGTGTAGTTGAGTAGAGGTCACCACTTCAAACCAATTTTTTTTTGCGACGTACGCCGAGGGGAGGTCTAGGCAATGAAATAAACATGATACATAAACATCAAGTACACATCAACAGGGTATCTCTTCCCTGACTCGGTACACATGGTCAGGATAGACTGGAAGTAAAAAGAAAAATCACAGGGATCCAGTCTAATTCCGATATAAGACATCTGTGAGAGGGACTGATGCACAAGATAGTGACCCTATTAGGCAAAGGAAATTTCATGGTCAAAGACGCTTGCTGTTCGCTGACCTTAGGATCAAAGTCTGTCATTATTGAATGTGACCGTAGAAGTTCCTAGACTGGGGGAAGGAAACCTGAGACATTCCCAGAATCTCATTGATTGCATCCTGTGTGGCATTTAGTGTCTGCCTCTGTCGAGGAGTATCGGCCACGCAAAGACTCTGATATTTGGAACAGCTGCCCCACTGTTGACTGATAATAGCCATCAGCCTGTTTAGCTTTTACTGAAAGTGGAAAACTGAACCTCATACAGAAATGAAAATCACATGTAACTAGTTACTTGATTAACTTGGATACAAGGTTTGTATAAAACAGGAAACTGATTGGACATTGCTACAAAAACCACCCTGATCCACATTTACACATTGCTGTTACGTCAATTAATATTTCATGTATACTTTTCACCAGGCACGCTCTGACAGATATCACCACTGATGCTTATTTTTCATCTGCACAGGGAGTTTCGCTTCAAGCACCCTGATCACACCAGGCTGAGTATTCGCAAGTCTAAGGCCATGAAGAGCAACTTCTTATCGACAGAGGTCTTGAGTGTCTTCATTCCATCCCTCATCCTAACTAACCTTCTCACCTTGGGAATTGGGTGAGTAGACACATGTCTAAGTAGGGCTCTGAGAAAGTGAAATTCCTAGGAAGGAGGCTCAGACACCATGAAGAGCAACTCCTCCTCACCATAGGTCTTGCTTACCTTGAAAATGAGATGAATATAGACACTTCATAGACAGGGGGAGAGATAGATCATACGTCACTGCCAAATCTCTGATCGCAAACGGTGACAACCAGACACTAACAGTTTTCCTGTGCATACTCTTTGAGTTGTTTCCAGCTGATTGCTACGTTCAATTTGTGACTGTACTTGGCAAAGCTGTGTCTGACAGAGCTCCTCAAAGGATGCTCCTTCCTCTTCCTGCGTTGATCAACTTGACATTCTTGGTCAGAGTGAGCCGAAGGTTTGCCTTGTATTTCAATGTATGCTGTGATACTTTTGTATGAACATTAAAGTATTTTCTTTCCTATTTTTTTCTTGTTGACAGCATTTATATCGGGCTGCGTGTGATCTCTCCAAGATCTAGTTGAGATGGATGCCTTAATTGATTGGTACCCTGTTCGAATCCAACCAGTGCGTACAGTTATTGAAGGGACTTGTTACCAGTATTTAACTGCCGAGAGAGCTGCTTATTTTCCTCTCGTGATTGGCAATTAAGGTTTTGTTACAGAATTGCATTTTGAAATTGTTTTGTTCAGATCTTTATATCTGGAAGTTAAGGTCAGAGGTTTGTTACACCCTGCGATATTGTACCTTGACTGGAGTAGCCCCCAATGCATTTCAGTAATTTATTCTTGTGAGTTGCGCATGTTGTGAGAGAGTTAAATGTACATTTCCTTGTTACACAGCATTCAAATCCTCCAGCTCGTCAGGCCGAATAGTTCGCATGATGGCCCTGATGGGCGGACAAGCCAGACATACAAGCTATTTGATGTGCATGAGCACTATTTTGCATATATTGTCATGGACAAATCATGATAGAGACCTATCCTGCTTTGCATAGCATAATGTGCCTCTCAGAGATATTCCCGAATAGACTGTTCTATTTTTCCTCAGGGGAGGATAGATGCCAGGGAAAATATAAACAAGTTAAGGTGTATTGATCATAGACTGTTATTCATGAGGAATGATTCAATGAAAAAAAAAACTTCATGGGGTGATCCCTGAAAGGGCTGTTCTAGTTTTCCGAGATGAAACTTGTGGAAAATACAACAGTATGATGGTCACTGAGTAAGGGTAGTTGCACTGATTGATTGATTGATTGATTGATTGATTGATTGATTGATTGATTGATTGATTGATTGATTGATTGATTGATTGATTGATTGATTGGTTGGTCGATCGATTGATTGATTGATTGATCGATCAATCAATCGATTGCGATCGATCAATCTATCCATATATACAATTGTTTTCCTGTAGAAACCACCATGCACACAGATCCTGCAATATTTTAAAAATCTCCAAATGCACTTGACATACCTGTATGGCATGTTCCTTTTTGTTGTTTTTTTCAGTTTGTAGACTTGCATATGTTGCAATTTAAACAACATGATGGGTTCAGGAGTAAGAGTGAATGTCATTTTATATACTCAGTTTTAAAAACGTCACATGGTTGCCAACAGTTAATTGGCCCGATTTAAAAGATGTTACTTCAAAGTGTGTATCATGTTACAAATGTACTTGTGAGGGGGCTGTTTTGTCTTCATCTTAGAACAGTGGTGATATCTAGAGTCAGCCATTCTGTCAAACTGTACGTGGGGGGGTAGTTAGTGTATTTGTTCATTTCCTTGGTTACTTGATGATGTCACAGTTATAATAGATGTGTATATGCATTATAAATTAAGCTGTGAATTGTTAATCACTGAAATCAACACTTTTGAGTATCTTATGACTGATCACTGAGCACTTTTTTCAAAGAAGTGAAATAATCACAATGCTGCATGTATCATAGTAAACTGCTTGAATTATAGGAATAATGTTTTATAAAAGAAAAAAGCTCATTTGTTTTGGCTTGCTTGATGATACAGAAAAAACAAGTATGAATGAACACAAAAGTGTTAAAAGTAAAAGACAGGTTTGTTAATTTTTGGAAATACAGTTACTCATAACTTGCTTCATCTAGTGAAGGTTAAGTGGAGATGATGTTTTCCCTGATCATTTTGTATGCTTGGTTGGTTTGAGAAAATCTATTGCTTCTGAGTAATTCCAACTCTGCCCCAAACTGGGAAGTTTGTAGTGTGTAAAAACCTGATCATATAACACGCATTAGATTCATTCTGAAAACTACTCTAGGGAAGTATATCATATTGTCATATTCATATCACACCTTCATTGAACTGGTGTAGGATTTCGTTCGCATCATTGGAGTACAGTTTCCATGGTTACACATTCAAACAAAGTGCACTTTTTTGGCTGTCTCAAGAGTACGTGCATAGCATTAAGTCATTATCGGTAACATTGGAACTAGATTGTGTATATACATGTAAGTAAGGTCTTCTGTCATCTCTAATGTATACACAACACAAAAGGAATTTCATTTCTGAAAATGGAAAACTGGATTTACATACACATTGAACTGGGAATTGATCACATACTGTAGTTGTTTCTACTACCAAAATGTAAAATTGTTTTATATTGTACAATGCCAAACAATGTGTGGCAATCGCATCATGATAAGTGTTGAAGTGCTTGAAACAGTGTTTTGCTTTTGCCTGCAAATGTGACTTATTTGATGTCACGTTTGGTTGAACAATGTATTTATTGAAAATTGCGTTAAGCCACATTTCGCCAGTACCCTTATTTTTTTATTTATTATTTTTGTTAATAAGCTTATTCCAAGAGAATGGTCAAAAGAGTATTTTGTAATGTATAAATGAAGCCACTAGTCAGTAGAGGGGAGTTTCTCCTTTCCCAAACACTTAACTGATGCCCCGCAGAACGATCAATGACAAACAGCACCTGCTGCTCTAAGAATGGCCTACAGGCATCGCCAGTCAAATGGATGTTGTTTGGGCCTACAGGCATCGCCAGTCAAATGGATGTTGTTTGGGCCTACAGGCATCGTCAGTCAAATGGATGTTGTTTTGTGTTAGGGTTCCATCCTTAACAGAAGGGAATTGCCAAGGGGAACGCTTGCTTTGATCAAAGCAAAATTCAAGCCTGAACTATTTTGGTAACGTCCAAACCAAGCGAGGTTGATTTGAGCTGGCATATACATATAGTGGGCCCTGCAAGGCAAAACAGTTAAACATTAGTCACTTATCACGGAAGTTGGTTTTGTAAATGCACCGTTTTGCGATATTATGTGTTTGATTTCGGTGCCTTATGTTTTTTTGAGAAATCTCAGGAATGTGCATGTTGAGTTGGCTGTCATGATACAAGTAAATGAAGTGGCATATAAAAGCATTCAAATGAAAATAATATATTTACATGAAGACTGGCATGGTGTTTATTTTCTAGATGGACTTGCACATCAAGATAAATGTTGAAAACAAATGGCAGCAAATCAGTGTGACTGTTAGTCTTACAGTGTATAATCTCAATGTTATGGATAAAATACATACTATGATCACATTGTGTTTGATTTAGTGAGACAAACAGTTCTAACATGTAAAATTGTTTTGTCAAAATTCCATTTCACTGTTATCTTTAACATGAATCTCAGAAATTCTAAGAAACACATTACATCCAATTACTGATTCCTCTGAAATTTGTGCACTTTTAACTCGCCAGGAAGAATAGTTTAATGCTTTAATTCCATCTTAAGAGAATTGAATCAATTCTGCATCCTTGCATTTGCAAAAATCAGGCTTTACAAAAGGCTGGGTTTTTTATACATCCTTAGTTGTGATGATCTTGCATCGAAAATATGTTCTCCATTAATTTGTATTTTAAGCATGTGGTGTTTTGCATGTTGGTTGTATTGAAAATGTAGAAATAGTAAGGCTACAAGATTTATGTCCAAACTAACTATAAGCTATTGTATCATATTTCTGTAAAAGCAGTTGAAATAAACTGTAATAAATATCTATAATAGCTAACCAGAAAACTATTGCCAAAGTAGTAATTCTTTGTATAATTAAGGGTAAAAGATTCTTTAATTTCAGCTTGCATTTTTAAATGCGTTGATTTTCACTTTCTAAAAACCTGCAGGAATCTGCTAAATTTTTGAAGATATCCTGATATTAGTTTTCTTTTGTCCAAACTTAATGAAATGTTAAGGGGTTAGCCTTACACATAAATACAAAATGACTAAAAATTTGATGTTTCCTCGAAATATTTGGTATTGTAATTACAACTTCAAACCCTTGTTAAAAATCATTTTAAAGCAAAAATAAAAACTTCAACTGATTGAAATTTCATTTTCAACGTTTTGTAAAACATTTTTAAAGCAAGTTTAAATGTAACGGCAGGGCGTTAGTCTTGCAAAAGTTAAAACTGATCAAAATTTCATTGTGGGAGTTAAAACTATTGAAATGATGGACAAAATTAAAATTGCAAGTGGTAACCCTTGCCCTTTAATTGGAACTGACCAAAAATTTCATTTTTTTCAATTCTCGTTGAAAAGTTTCCAGCAACATTGAATAAATTTCAGGGGTTTATCTTATATTTTGATTGAAACTGAAATTTCTTTTTTTTCAAAATTTCACTAACTTTTAGGCAAAATTAATTAAAATTGCAAGGGGTAGTTGCACATTAATTTTTTTCCAAAGCATGTCAAAATATTTTTGAAGCAAAATTAAAATTACAAGGAATTGGGTTTTCATTTGAAATTAGTGACCACGATTCCATTTTCAAAACTTCACTGATTAAAAATTTTTGAAGCAAATTTGAATCAGATTGCAAGTGGTTTGTCCAGTAATTTTAATTACAATAGACCAAAATTAATTTCTTTCAATGCTCCTGAAAATGTTGTAGAGTCAAATAAAATTGCAAGGGGTTAGCCTTGCATTCTAATTAAAACCCACCAAAATTTCCTGTTTTTTAAAAAGTGATAAAAACCAAGTTTAACAGGTAAATGAAGTAGCATGGGGTTACCTTCAAAAATATAGTTAAGACAAGGATTGTTGTTGGCAACACATTTTAACATGTTTTTCGCTGGTGAAATTGGCGATCTTGGTAACCATTTTCATCGTACAACACCGACAACGCGTGGGAATAGAGCAACACATAAAATGGAATATTTGGAAGACGAAAAAAACCTGTTTATTGATTCAATAAAAGTCACCGATTCAATAATGGTGACGATCATAATTTATAAACCTTGATGAAGGGTTACAGAAACTGAAATAGGAAAAAACTTCTACAAATGAAAGTGACACAAATGTAAATGACTTTTACAGTTCCCATACTTACTACAGAGAGTTTTGCGCCTCGGACACCAGACACACGGAAGGCAAGCCATGCATTATTTTGGTGACAACAGTAATTCAGGAAAAGGTTTTTTTATAGGTAACAGCAGGAGAAATGCATCTTTTGTTTGCAAACCTTCAATAACTTACAGACGCAAACATTTTCCACAGTAACTGTTTCTTACGGTTTTTTCCTATTTCAAAGTATGTAACCTTTCACCTCATTAACATGCAGGTAAGAAAATGGTTGGATATTTTTTATTTTGCACATGATAAAAATATATATGCATAAATTACAGGTTATCTTCTCATTTCATTTACAAAAAAAGGAAAAAAATTGCATTCAAAAGGGGAATAGGACAGGGAGGAGCTTAAGGCATGAGAGGGTGTATGATCCGTCAATCCTAAAAAAAACAAAACCAATGTCACATACTATTTTATATATTACATTATCTAAAAAATCTTTTAGGGGAAATGACAATGCTGAATACAACATACTTCATGAAATAACTTTGACAACATTCTTACATTTTCCAGGCACATAAACTCAATGTGAATTCATTACACGATGTTGGACAGAATGCTAAATTTTGTCAAAATCAAAAGGAAAAACATTTTTCTCTAATTCATTAATGGAGAACTAAAGTCAGAATTTGTATCTTTCAAATCCAAGCCAGAAGTTTGTTGACAAAAGGTAATCATTTTGCTATTAATGATTTTGTTCTCCAGATAAACATGAAAATTGATTTTGCGAATACAGTTGCGGTGCAACATCTTTGGAAGATGCCTCTTAGCAATGGATGTTTGTCAGAAAGCGTCTCCAAAGATTACAAATTTAGGCAAGAATAAAAAGCAAATGAAGAGAAAATAAGCGAACAATATCCAGCATTAAGTGCAAGAAGCAACACAAGATTCCGATCACCCCAACCATGGAGGAAGGACACAAGGAGTTTGAACTGCCCGGGTTACAACATCTGGCCAATTACCGCTTTCTATCATGCCCAGTATGTCCATAGCCAGAGCACAGCGAATGCTTGCTATGCACCACCTGTTTCACAACCATAAACCCCTTTGGTACCCCATGATCATCGCCACAATTTTTCGCTGGTAATCTGCATCCTTAAAACGTTGTGTACTGCATTATAGGAAGTTGAATATTCATGCCATCGATGGTGCTTGATATGATCTGACAACAACATCAAATTAAATGCTTGCGCAGTTGCTTATAGGCTTTGCACCTGAAGTGTTCATGTGCAGTTGTTGCCCTTATCGAACGCTTTCCTCTGGACTTATTTTGGGAATAAATAGCCAAGTTGTTTATAAGATTTTGTGTTTTATTCAAATCATTTTTATTGCTGAATTTACACAAAAAGGGATTTTATGAGATTTCATGATCGCTCCTTGTGATGAAACAGCGCATTTTGTTTTTTGTGAACTTAACTGTCATGTGGTGGTCAACATGTCGCTGGCCAGTCTTAGCCAAATTCGTACAAAGACTTTGAAAACTACTGCATGGATAATGGAAAAGTGCATCAAAATCTTTTTAAAAAATTTATTCATGACGGCAAAAGTAAATCTAATGCTAGACATTTTCTTTCCATTTCCGGGTCACTGCGACAAGTTGCAGTTAATTGCAAAGAAGACACCACAAATATTGCTAAGATATTACTGGCCCCACTTGTCTGGCTAAGCTGCAGGCAGTAATCAGGCATTTTGGGAAAGTTGACTATTGTTCGTCTGACTGGGCGGCGATGATCATTGAGCACTTTGATGTGCCAGAGTTGTAACTCCTTCTGTGTCCTTCCTCCATGCTCAAACCAACGTTTTCCCTATCTTTAACTATTCTTAGTATCATCCATCCAATCAGCCATCCAATTAGTCTACACCTGCTGACTACTTGTACCAAGACTGTACGAGACGTTCAAGAATCTTCTAACAGAATGCATTATGGGTAAGTGAAACATGACAGACACAAACAACAGATTGACAAGAAAAGCATTTGTTGATTGCTATTTGGTCAATATGTACACAGGCTGTGATCTCTCCCAGAAGTCAACACACACAAATTGTCCAATAAGAGCACTTCAAAAATTAGCCAGTGCCAAAATCTTTGGTTTGTGGATACCACTGTGCAGTTTCCAACAGAGAGGTACACTGAAGCTGGGCAAATGAGGAAAGGTAGCGAAAAACACATTGCCTTAGTTCCTACATACATGTATGATGAAAAAAGTATGCAAATTAAATTTTTCAGTTGAATGTGTACAACCATGTTGCATTTGTGCATGACAAAAACGCAGCCTTGAATGAGTGTACAGCAGCTATGGTACTGAAGTGTCCATCAATACTACGTTCAACTTTCAATTTCATTGCTGACAATGTATTTGTGCGCATGAGCCAAGTCCTCGTATCAAAATTAAATGATAAAGCTTTCAGTAGGAAGCATATTATGCAACATTTTCAAATACTGGAATGACTGAACTAAATGACGACTTCATGTTACAATCCTTTATTGAAGTAAACTCTCTGGATTGCATCTCCATATTCTGCTCTGATTGATGCTTGAAGATCTGGCTCAAGATTACTGACTGCCATGGAACTGCAAGAGAAATCAAGGCAATGGAAGTGAGGTTTCAATAAGCCTGAAAACAACATCACTATCTACCGTGGGAAAGAATTTGTCAGGATGAAGACTGCGGAAAAAGGCCAAGCTTAGGATCTGGGCAAGATTCCAGCTCGATCACAATAGCCTAAGAGGCCATCAGGCTGAAGAAAAGATACGACAAATGGGGAGGGGGTGAGTACAGTTAGGCTGTGTATGATTATTTTTCTTACTTAAACACTGTTAATTTTGCTCTAAATTTGAACCAGGATATTCAATCAGAATAAGTAAAAGGCTTAACTCAATATGGTTGTCAGTCTTGTTCTAAAAAAAGGGAAAATTTGGCCAGCTTGCTTTGTCATCTTACCATCGCTGAGGAAAGAGAGCACAGGCTGTTGGCGTCATAAAGAGCAAACTGCAAACGAGATACAGAAAGGATGAGATTACTGGTTCATCAGAGCTTGAAAATGGGCAACCTAGAAAGGACAAACAATGGCAACCTCCAAACTTGAAAGTCCACAGAAAATAGTTTATCCTAAATACTTTCATATTGATGACAATTTTTACAATGGTTACTCGCTTAATGAGAAAAGCTGAAACTTACTTCATCTTCTAGGAAAAATAAATGATTGAGAGAAATAGTATCAGTATCATTTCAGGCAGTTCAGTGTAGACATTGGGAAGTATCAAGAATGGACTTCTTGGGCTTTGGCTATGTCTATTGT